CGTCTGTACATTGCGCTAGATGAGACCAACACCGTACGCGACGTGAGTCACGAGATTCATTCTTCCGTCGCCGATGCGTGCTAACATCGATCTAGCGCTTTGTGGTCAAAAAGGTCACGACAGATGATAGAGCCATCTTCAACGAACGACGGGCAGTTTGTCGGATCATCGACACCCTTCCCGATTCCGGCGCAATACTAAAACACAGGTTCTGGTCGTGTCATGATTATGGCGAGCATATCGGTCCCACTTCCAAACACAGGTACGAGGTGAAAATATATATGGACTATTGCTCTGCAGGCACACTATCCGACATCATCGAAGAATACAGTGCGGAAAAATGGCAGCAGGATACCGACGACCAGATTCCTGAACCGATGTTTTGGATCACTCTGATCACAATCTCAGAAGCAATCTATAACCTCACAACCGGATTGACGTACACGCCGGGTATGGACGATGCAGCAGAAGCCTTTGGGTGGATACCAAAAGTGCATCGCGACATTAAGCCCAGCAACATCTTCCTCATGGAACCTCAGGAACCCTTCGCTTCTTTTCCGCGGCCTGTGCTAGCAGACCTCGATGATATGCTCGAACTCTTCGGATATGAAGAGTACACCAAGAAGTACCATTTGTTCACCCGAGGCTACGCTGCACCCGAGAACAATATCGAGCTGCACACCCTAGACCCCGACTCCCGAGGCTTCGGCTACTTCCAAAGGCAGCCGCTCTCCTGCAAAACAGACATCTAGTCTCTGGGCACCGTACTCTGGGAGATGATGCACAGTTTTCTCGGTCCCCACAAGGCTCAAGGCCTTTGGCACGGGGCTATCACTAATACTATACATTCAGATCCTGCTCAAAGTCGCTTTCCTAAGCATACACTTCCCTTGCTTGCGCCTACGATAGATGAGCCGAGCTATACGAGGGATTTGATCCGCATGTTTGAACTGTGTAATCAGAGTATACCGGCAAGAAGACCGACGGCGGTAGGTTTGAGGAGGTTGGTGGAGAGGAAGATGAGGAGGGCGCAGAAGTGCTTGGGAGTTTTTGAGGGCGCGATGTGGAGGAGAGAATGAGGGTTAGGTATAGGAAGGAAGAGTTCGGCATGAGGCCCAACACTGGGCTTAGTAAGAGGCGACGTGGTCATTGGGCATGAATTCATAGCTCATCTAATCATACATAACACCGTACCATCGCGGGCGCTCCACCAACTCTCGTTTATTTTGCAGCCATCATCTCCAAGAACTTGTCACCCAGCGCATTCGCTGCCATCGGGTTATCACCAGTTACAAGCTCTCTATCCACAGTAATACTTCCCATGGACTTAGCAACACCCTCCTGCATATCTGCGCCCTCTTCCCTCAGCGTACCCTCAACCTTGTCGATCTCGCCGCGGAAGATCGTCTCCATCAACTTCTCTTCAGCATCCGACCAGCTCGTCATCTTGTAGCCAGCGTACTCAAACTTCTTGCTGGGGCCGTACTTGGTCGAGAGGAAGGCCCAGGGTCCGTGGCATATCGCAGCAGTTGGCTTCGACGAAGTGTGGAAGTGTGTGAGTATGCGACCGAGATCCGCGTTGTCGCCCAAGTCTGACAGAGGAGCGTGACCACCGGGGATGAAGACACCACCGTATTTCTTCAGTTCCTCGTCGCTGATCTCGGAGAACTTCTTTGGTCGCGAGAAGCCGTTCTCTTTCTTCATGCGCTCGATTAGCTCGAGCTCTCTTTGCTTCTCATAGTAGTTTCCGGCAAAGGCTGCGAGAGATACGCTGAGGGGGTCTGGTGTTGGCTCCTTGCCCTCTGGTGATGCGAATGCGACTTCGTAGCCGGCGTCGAGGATCTTTTGTAGAGGCTTTGCTAGCTCCATGAGGAAGTAGCCTGAGTCTTGAGATACGGTCTTTCCATCACTTCCGGTGTTGTATAGGGGGAAGGAGGACGCGTCGGAGAGCACGATGAGGACTTTCTTGTTTGCCGCCATGATGGTTGATTTGGAGTTGTATGTGTAGGTTGGTGGGAACTAGTTATTTTTTGTCTTGGAATCTGAGAAGTCAAGCGGGTATCAAGCTGCGTTGTATAAGAGATGGGAAAGGGCGATATGAGGGGTTGGTGTATATGTTTGTGGTTTTCGCTGCAAGGTCAGTATGACGTAGGCGCCTTCTGTCTTTTAGAAACGTCACACCCACCCAACTCTCCACTTAGGTAGTCGACGTGTTGCATAAACTTCGATGCTCTGTCTCGGATAACCTCGGCACGATCTTGCGTCATTGTCCTGATTGGTGACCTTGTACGCGCGAAGAAGACACGTCGCGTCGCGTGTGAAGGCGGTTCGTTGCATGACTCGTCCCGCATCGCGAGATGACTCGCTTGTGCCATTCATCTCAACTCCTCAACCCCTCCAAACATTCACCACGAGCGTACGTCACTGCAAGAGAAAGAAATACATATGGCCAGACTACAGAACAACGCATGTACAGGTGTCCTGAACACGTCGAAAGCACACTGGTTGGCCCAAGGTCCGTGCCGCGAGAATCCAGCAGCATCACACGTGGGTTCACAGCGCAAGAATCGCAGTCCTGGACGCCTGAAAGTCGTGCAAGAGCCTTGTTGAGGCCGTCGCATTCAGGCAACAGTAAAAATACCAAGAAGACAACATGACAACATCACGCATAGTTTGAATCATCCTGTAGCAAAACGGATATTATATCAAGCGGACTCCAGCTAGATGATGCATCGATGCTCAACGCTACTGACATTGCCACCCACCATCCTGCACACCATCTACTATGCGCCTCTACACTCACCTATTCTTTCTTTTTTCCATCCTGTCAACTGCGCTAGCGCTGTGGGATTCAAAAGACCCCTGTCCCACTTCCATCGAGGCAAAAATTGATGCTGACCCTTCCCGGTCCCTCGACGACCGCTACCCATACGAAGTCACACCCTTCACAACCTGGGACTCCGTCCACTCAGCCCTCACTACCTGCCCTAACATATCCACCCTCAACATCGGTATCTACGGGTCCTGCAGTACATGGCCCGACCGGATGAACCTACCGCTCAGCCCTTTCGGCGGTGAAAAGTATCCCGATATCAAATCTTTGAAGGTTGAAGGCTATCAGTGGGAGACATGGCAGCATGAGGAAATTTGGAAAGGGCCGAAGTGTCTAGCGCCAGGCAAGCTGGAATGTTTCATGGACGCATTGTATTGGGTCTACAAAGGCCATTGGATAAGCTGGCTTGGATGGCGCACTCAATCGAAAGAGCAGTGCGAGAAGACCAACGCGGAGCTTTGGCTTGACGCAATGAACTGGACGCGTATCGAGGAGCTTTCTGTGGACACCGTCCCGGAAAGCGTGCGGAAGGTTCTCTCGCAGTCGCGAGCGTTGCGCTCGCTGAACACGACAGACAGCGAACTCATCCTCGGCTTGCCAAAGAACACGCTGACGCATCTGTCTCTTGTCAACGGCGAGCGCGACACCGTCCTCTTCGAAGATATTCTGAACCAGCAGGGCGGATCTTTGGAGAGTCTTGAGATGCGCTGGAATACTGAGCATCATCCATGGAGGTATGACGGCGATCTCGACGACGAGATTCAGATGATAAGAAAGAGCGCAAAGCAAGTCAAGCATCTAAGTATAAACATCTTCCGTAACGCTAGCAGCTCACCCTTGGAAACGCTGGGAAAGATCGTTTCCATACCCACGCTACGAGAAGCAGACTTTTGGATAGACATACTCGGGCCACGGGAGTGGAGTTACAGAGAGCTCCGCGCCCTCGGAGAACAGTACGCAGAGGCAGAAGGCGGCAGATACCTATTTCTCAACAAAAAAGGTGCGCTGAATATCTTCAATTACATGCGAGACAAGAAGCAAGGGCAAGAGCTGGAAAGAGCAACTTTTTGGATTGGTGACTGGACACGGAATTGGCTCTGGGAAACCCCAAGAGCGCATGTAAAATGTGAAGCGAAAGCAGATGTTGATATGGAAGACTGGTGTGTGGTGGATGATCAGTGGCCACACTACCCGATGTTCGTGCTCACTCCACGGGTAGAAGCCCTGGAAATTATGGACACGGATTTCCGATGTGGAACGACATGAGCTCTGAACCTTGAATCTACGTTGGCTTCTCGGTAGATACATGCATATGTTCACGACTTTAGTCGTGACTGAGGGTGGGATCCCATGCGCAGGGCTCATACACTCCAGTATCCAAGCTCTCCATCTCTTCGGCTGCGAGCTCGAAGTCGTAGATTTGGGCGTTCTCCTCGATGCGAGATTTGGTCACGGATTTGGGGAGCGGTATGAATCCCTGTAATCGCAATGTCAGTTTCTTGCTCTCTCACAAGAAATTATTGTAGTTATGCTCACCATCTGTATACTCCATCTCAGCAGTATTTGCGAAGGCGTCTTGTTGTACTTCTTCGCGAGTGGCTTGAGCAGCGGATCGTCGTTTTTTGTTGCGCGCACGATTGGACTGTATGCTTCGCATACCACACCTCGCTGCTTGCACCAGTCTACGATATCTGGTCGCGCGAGCCACGGGTGAAGCTCTACCTGATTGACGCTGAGGACTCCACCTTTGCCCTTCCCCTCTTTTGCCTCCGTTTCTTTGATCCACGCTTCGAGTTCATCTAGATGATGCACGCCGTAGTTGGAAACGCCAATTGAGCGAATCTTGCCTGCCTGCACACCCTCAACGAGCGCTTTCCACGCACCGATGCGGTTCTCTTTACCGCCGTAGGGACTGTGCAGGAGGTACAGATCGATGTAATTAAATCCGGTGATCTTGAGGGTGTTTTCAATGTGCTGTTTCGAGTTCTCGTAGCTCATGTCTTTCGGGGGGATCTTTGTCGTGAAAAATAGCTCTCCTCTTGGAATGCCCGACTTCTTCATGCCTTCCGCAGATGGTTGCTCGTTCCGGTAGGCGACGGCAGAATCAACGTGGCGATAGCCGACTTTGAGCGCGTGCTCAACCACCTCGGAAGCAATGTCTACTGGTGTTTGGTAAACGCCATATCCAAGGACGGGGATCTTGTAGCCTGATGGCATGGTCTGTTGCGAGTTGATGGTGAGCCCTGCCATGATTGCTGAGGACGTATGGAAGGACCGAGGTGATCTGGGAAGGGGCAATTGAGAACGTAGATTTGACAATCTTGTGAGGGCAGCAGTACGCATAGTACCTTTGCAACGGAATGAATGGAAATAGATATATATTTTGAGCGGCTGTTGCCTCAAGGACGGGATGATACCTGTAGGAGTATACTCCGGCGAATCTGGAGATAGCGGACATAAAGCGCCAAGGCCGAAGACTAAAGACGCGTCATTAGCAAGATCACCTACATAGCTACACCATATAGCGAAACAAAACTTTATCATCGTCAGTCCATCGCACTTTGGAGATACTTCAGCGTCACCGCTTCTCTTTGGGCCCTTTTACTACCAAATTAACCTCAACCGCGCATGCGCCTCTTACCACGCGATTCGTCCCAAAAGGGCAATATTAATATCAATTCGCAGCCACCACTTAAGGACATATGACGCAGCAAACGACCCGATGTAGCAACACATAATTAGGCAAATTGCCGCTCTTTCCTGTCACTCTGCAACTATTTACCCAGCGATCACCGCCGTTATTGACGCCTCTTACGCTCAACACATATATGCGAAGCAAGACAGGCATCGAGCTCCCAGCTCTCATGCGAACCCCAGGCGGCTTCGCGGGCCTCAGCTGCACGGGATCCGAGATGACGGGCCCTTTGTCAGCGCTAGAAGGGCCGAAGAAGATCTGGAGACACCGCTGCAGACTGGCGAAAGCTGGTGGGGCGAACGCACGCGAATAGGCGCCTGACACTATGGATAATTACAATACCACGTTGCGCATGCGAGCCCACGGACCTGAAACGTCCCGACCCCCCTCCTTTTTGGACCTCTGGGTCGCGTAAAGAGTATGTGCTTTCTGCAAGAGGATAGCAGGTTGCAGGCCTAACTCGTTCCTCCGACACACCGATAGACTGGCCCTTGGTTCGGCACCCCGGCAGCGTCTCAGGAGTCGGTTTACGTTTCTCAACTCCACGGAGCGTAGCACGACAGCTTTCCAACATTAGCCGAAGAGTTTTGTACGACTGATTTTCGATGGATGCCGATCGCATTATCGGAATAGAGATCGATCTTTGCCGTAGCCTTGAAGCTTGTCCGACCATGAGCTCGTGAACGAGTGGTTCGGCAGCCTGTAGTACCACCGGTGAGCCGTGAAGGGATGCACGCTGACACGACACGCACGTGCAGGGTGACTTCATAGGGCCTAGCATCTGGCCGCTTCTGTGCCACCTCTAGAAACCCATGCGATGCGGCTAAAACATGTGCAGTTCAACAATATTTGCCATTATCGACTGACTCTATCGTCTGGGTCGCAGAGACGGGAAACACTTCGCTTCCACTCCTTTGCTAATGTGGGGCGTAGATCATGAAACACTAACCCGGTCGAGTCGTCAACTGCAGCTCCTCTGTCATTGTCACATTGCTTGCCCTTCCATCTACCTCACGACCCAGTCAAACCGTTTCCTGATCTGTTTCAACCCCTCGACGCAAGCCTCAACCGTCGCTCAATGCGTCATTCACAGCTACAGGGATCGTTTTCCACTGACTCTGGTCGTTGTCTTATCGCGTGCTCGGCAACGCGGAGGAGATCCCGAAGATTCGAACAATGTCACCTACCCCGAGTGTACTAGTCCGCATCCTGCGTCTGAGTCTCGCCGCTATTGGCACTCATGCTCGGATTCAGAACGTGGAACACTGTCCTGCCGTCAGCGGTCAACGACTAGCCAAGTAGAATGGCGGTAGGTTCCGATCGCTGCGTGATGCGCGACGACGCAGGAACGTGGGGGTATACAGCACACGCGGACGACGAAGCTTACTACTGGCCACAGCGCGTTCTCGGAGGCTTAGTCTAAGATGATAAGCAGCCTATTAAGACTTCTAGAAGAAGTCTATCAACTAAATCCTGACTCTTACCACCACTCCCATTGGAAGTTTTACGCGAAAGGCCGCTACCAGCCGTTTTCAACTCGAGCGTAGGGCCGTTCGGGCCGCTGGCGACGTCGAGGAGAAGTAAGCTGCGTACATGCGCAACGAACCGGTCTTCATCGCGGTCCGCGACTGCCTTGGCGAGCGGATGTAAGCTGACTAGGGCTTGTGACGTGAAAGCTCCCTCCTTCCGAGCAAGCCACGGGCGATCACCAAGCAAATCGTTCGTCGCCATCCACCGGATTTCGAAACGCGCTGACCAGTCATAGCCACCAGATGCATGATATTACACCGCGCGGTCCATCAGCATCGTCCTGATTCTACTTCTACCCGTACTCGTGCTGGATCTGGTAGATGTGTGGTACACGTCAGACCGTATTCGAAGCCATTGTCGATGCGTCGATTGAAACTGCCGCGAAAGTCTCGGTGGCATCATGCATGGAGCTCGAGCTTCTGACAGCAGTGCTTACACTCAGTACGTAGACGTCGTCCACCTGTTACATCTACAGTGCGTATAGGAGAGCACTCGGCGCAAAGGATGTCGCAGCACTGAAGGATATAGACAGTGTGACGAGAGTTCTTGTCTTGCATACCGGCGCCACCCGTGCCGTTTGAAGAGCGACTGACAGCTTAAGGGGAATTCAGGGTTGCGGGGCCCTTGATTGACAGATACAAGGCCACGGCACGCAGGAGCCGGTGTTCCTGCTCAGATCCCCACATAGTGTGGAGATGTGATACTATCGTCCTCTATACGCCTGTGGTAGTCCATCAGCCGGGGGTTGATACGGCCGAGCTGCTCTTCTCCGCAACATCAGCGTGAGATCAGTGCTCGATGTCAATATCAGAATCTACCTACACACGCAAGTCGGCACGCGTTATGTAAGGACCGTTCGTCTTGCTGATCTCCTTGGTCTACGCCCCAGGAGACCGCATGGCATCCGTGCCTTCCAATCGCACTGGCTAAATCGGTCTGTCAGTGCTTGATGCATCTGCCGAAGAATGGTCTCGACCAGAGATCACCAAGAATGTGAAACTTCCTCAGTAAGATAGTGGCAGACGCAGGGGATGATGACGAGGATAGGTACGGTGTGCGTAGCTGAGACCCCCTAGCATACTCGCGCTATGAGCCCATGCATACTACAACAGTGGCATGTAAGTAAGTTGTTACGTGCTCGCGTGGAGTAGGGACTGTACCACGTAGCTTACACATAGGGCTGACTATGCTGACCAGTCACGAGCTTGGAATGGAGGTATACGAGGGATGCTGGCGTCGATCACGCCTTCTTACTACTAACATTTCTTACACAAGCACCGATATACTCGGAAAAGTCGGAGGTAGGAGGCACACGACCCATGCGTACCGTCATAGCTAAGCAAATAGCGCAGCCACAGCGATGATGCATCTTACCCAGGCGACAGAACAGAATGCGCAGTGCTATACGTAACAGACCCGAATGCGTGACCTGCATCATCAAGGCAGACTACGCGCGCATTGGCATTCATCGCGAAAGCACGTCATGTCCCCGTGCCCTTTGACAGGATTCACACGAAGGAACGCACAATGTAACAGTGTCCATCGCTTCTCCATAGCGGGCAGGGCACCAAGACACGAAAGGCCCGATTGCGGCGCCGCACCCATCTCCAAACCGTCTGCGCGAAGGTACGGCACCACCACCACCGTGCCGCCCTCAAGACACGCGAGCCGCGCGGGTGAAAGCCCAAGCCCCAAACCTCTGCCGCAAAAAACGGTTGTCTCGTGTCCACTAACCACATGAGCAGCCGCGAAAAAAATAAATAGAGCCTTGTCAAGTCATAAGCGAACCTGTCACAGCGCTTTCTATTAAGACATCTGAAACCAGTGCGCCAAAAATCGATACAATCGTGATTGCGGCACGACTGTACTGTATTGCGGCGCAGTTCGGCACAGGTGGGTGTGTGGTAACGGAGATGGGTGCCCCGTTGAAGAAGGAGCGAGGGACCAGAACAAAAACGAGGGCCCCACAAGGCGGCATAAGGTTAGTTAGGGCGGTGCGAAAAGCGCATGCGCGAGCGACAGAAAGGGAAAATGAAGAAGGGTTTAACGGTTTTGGGAGCGAGATACGCGATCTCGTTTTGTCTCATTCCACGTGTAGATGCAGACGCGCTGTCTTTGAAGCTTGCAACAACCGAAAAGACGCGCAGCAGGGATATGTGATGTGCGCGTGTTGTTGCATATGGGGAAGCAGAAGAAGGGGGCCGCGCAGATGGCCTGGGAGATCTAGCTGCGACTCAACAACAGGAAAGGAGATGAAGATGATCGTTATATGTATTTGAAATAAGATAACTCAACAAATGTAGTTAGTTAAGCAAGGGTATCGAGCGAAAGAAGAAGATAAATGACATAAAAGGCGAACGTTAAGAAGGCGTTGCGCGCTGTTTGCTGCTTGCTGTGCCCCATAGAACTCCCTGACCCAAGCCCATGCAAGCCGCCCGTTTTTTTTCTCGCTTTGCTAAACGCCGGTGTGTCTGTGCCGCATCGCGGGAAGCGTTTAGACTTAGACATGTTGCCCCGATGGGACAATCCCTAGGAGTGGAAGAATCAGAAAGGAAGAGCGATGCGGCGTGGTTTACCCGCATCCTCCTGCCGTAATAAGCGAGGCTGACACTGGCGAGGTTGACTAGGTGCTATGGTGCTGGTGCAGGAAGGGAGGGAAGTTCATGGGCGTGGGCTCGATGGGGCTCATCGCGTAGGGTGCAAAGCCTTGCTGGACGTGCTGGACGTGCTGGTCGAACTGCGTGTAGGGTATGGGTGTTGGATCGATCTCTTGCCATTTGCGAGAGCATTGGCGTGCGGTCCATTTTTCTTCTGCACCGTAATCGAGCATCTATAGGAGTTAGTGGCTGTACTTGGGATCGATGGTGGTGATACATACCTTTTGCGCGATGATGTCGAACTTGTTTTGCACCCAGTAGTCATGGGCTTTGCGCAGTGCTTGGACGTCTACTTCAGTCCACTGACGCATCCGTTCTTTTAGTCGCTTGATACGCATCTGCAGTGCGGGTATTTGGTACTGCCTGCCGAAGTCTTTGACAAAGCGTGCTGCGATATCTTTCCAAGGCATGTGCTCTTCCTCTTTGAGCCGAAGAAGCAGACGGTCTTCCTCACTGAGCTCAAACTGGCTCGATATCTGTGAGTCCGATCGCTTTCTTCGCTTGGGCTCTTCTTCTTCGTCGTCTTCCCTCTGTCGCTTGGTTCCGTGCGAACGGGGTGTCTCCAGGGGTAGAGGAGCGATCGGTGTGTACATGCGTCGGGGTTGTGGCGAGGGCATGTGGCTTGACGATAGCTCTGTTGATGGCTCACTCACTCGGGGACTATGGGTTGGGAATGCTGGATAGTAGGCTTCGTGGTTCGCATGAATGCCTAGTGCATTCATCGTCCAGGAGCCGTCCACTGCGGCCGAATGCAACGAGTCTGAACCGCTGTGAGTCCGGTCCATGAAGTGAGACTGTCTCCTGTAGCGAGAAGTGGGCTGATGCAAGACGGTCCTTGCGTCGGAATGGGGCTCTTCAGATGGCCGTGTTGACTCTGGTACCACGGAATCTCGAGAGTAGACGGTACCTGGAGAGATGGCTGTTGATGAATGCGTAGTGGACACTGGAGCTGTTGCTGAGTAGTAGGATGCAGACGCAGGCGGTGACAAGTTGACCTGCGCCGTGTGTGGAGGTATATAGCCATATGAGGCGTATGTGGTCTAGACGACGGCATATGAGCAGCCGATCTCGCAACAAGGGTGAAGTACAAACCTCGCTATGGCACTCTGGGGCCGAAATTGAGGGGGCATACCACCCAGTAGTCGGCTGACAGTTGAGCTCTTGAGAAGGCAGAGGGCTTTCTGGCAAGCGTGGATTGTATGAATGGAACGACTGTGGAGACATAGTGCCAGGCGAGGAGGCCAACGCGGGGTAGTACTGAGGGTGGTAGGGACTTGGCCAGGACGAGGCTGACTTGTCTTGGAGATGATGCGGAGGGAGGATAGCACCTTCAAGTATGATAGACATGACAACTGCGGCTGCGGGTAGGATTTGAAGAAGCTTATGTGCTGCGCCTTACTGCTGGTCGCTAATGTAGCAGACTGGAGACGGGCGGTAGCAAGAAGAGGATGCGGCGCACGGTGATGATATTCAGGCTCGAGCTGGACGACTAGGCTAGGGGAACGCCTCAGTCATATTTATCAAGATGGTAGCGGTATAGCGGCCTCGAGTGCAGGTCACTTCTAGTGCGTCGACTCTAACGTGCCACCCCCAGTAGGCTTTGAAGGATGCTGCTGCGCACTGACGGTCAGGCCTGCACGTTAGCGCCCCGAGCTTTCACCCTGCTCTTCTCTTGTCTCTACGTGGTTTGGCGGCCCTGACCCCAGCATGCCATGCCTTGCGCTTGAGCCGCGAATTGGCCAGCCATGCAGCGTCGCTCGACGGTTGTGTCCGGCCCATTTGCTGGCCCGGAACGCTGCGCTGGGTTTTCTAGGTGGTGTCCTGCAACAACGGTGATCATGACCGTGTGGGCGTCGCGGCAGCCTTGCTATCGGATTCCGCTACACGCCTGGCCGGCCAGGGTGTGCCCGCTACACGGCACCGTGGCTAGTGCGCATACCTGTGGTTTTTTGAGGGTGGAAGTCGAATGTAACCTTCAGTAAGGCGGCCACCCTGACGTCGGCCCTGACGTCTGAGACTCCTCCCACAATCGCTACCCAGTGGGTTAATCTCTTTTCGATGCAGCGTGATATTGACGAACCTGTCTGTGCTGGCGGCGCCATAGGATGCCGTCAACAAGGGTTGCACTCCATCGCGCAGCAGCGAGGAAATTTGGCCAGCCGTGTCTTCCCATTCGGTGCGCCTGGACAGCTGTGCCGTCGAGGTACCTCAAAGCCAGTAAATTGCCCCGCATAGGGTGCGTAAGCTGAAAGCGAAGGACGCGACGGCGCTTAAATGCACGCTTGCGGTAATTTCTATTGGCCGCTAATATACGCTTCGGCTGGGCAATGACCGCTAATTCGCCCCTTTCGTCCTTGTTCCCACCCTTCCAACTCACCTCCTCTTCGTCGCACCTCTCACACAGCACATGCTCACGATATCAGCGAAGATCACTGCCACCACTGCTATCCACATCACGTCGCTTGCTAGCGTGTACGTCTGCCATGTCGATTCTCGCCCCACACCACGGGTCTGCTCCGTGGAATACCGCCGACAGCGACCTTCCGCACAATGCTCAGTGGGTGTGACCCCCCACCGCCATGGTACATATCTGCTACTAGTCAATCTGGGCTGTGCGTTGTTGAACGGCTAAAAGACTTCGTTTGTGCGGCGGTCCAGCGCCCGAAGACCCCGCTTCCTTGTTGTCTTCCAACGGTGATCCTCACTCGTTACTTTGTCTGCCGTGTTTCGTCGAGGGCTTCGTATCGGCAGAATACCTGCGACAATTCTTGTGTTGAAGAGCGTTCTTCATGGTCTTTCCGTGGAGTGGAGCGTGGGTGGTGCCCATGGTGACGCACTGAACTTTGCGACCGCAGCAAGCGGCGGCTCCAGATCTTGGTACACTGCCTTTTGACTCTTGATATAGCTGCGACTCCATTGTTTTACGTTCGTCCTCCGACTTGCATTTTCTGTCTTGCTTTTTTTATGGGCGCAGAATCTGCCTTGATTCACTCAGCCTTCCCGGTTGACAACCGTTCCGAAGTGAAAATGGAAACATACACGTTGCGGCACTCGGTGGATCTGTTCTATCGCGGGTATTTGCAATAACCACGCCGTACAGCATACTGTTGCACGCGGCCTGAGGGGCTGGATCCGCACTTTTGCCTGAGATATTGCGAAGTGACGAAGTTGGCCACTCACATCGCAACCACTGCATGTCCGCCTGGAGTCGGCACCGTCTTCGCCGTTACGGACGCGGAACACATATGACCTTCTCGAAGTGTACCTAGGTACAGTGAAGGATTGCGTACCTGGCCTAAGGATGCTGCCATCCGTCCCGCGCGCCACGTTGGATGCCTTGGAGTCCTGACCCAGGCGTCCATGATCTTCGCCGCGAGAAACACCGATATGAGGCTGCGGGTGGCACCTATGCGGCGCTGTAGTTCACTATCCGACTTACAGAGATATTGCGACGGAATCCATGGGCGATATAGACGCTCGTTTGCAAGGCTGTGTGGGCTTCGCATCTCGGAATAGTACGGGGCGTAAGTTGAGCCACAATGTCTGCTTGGCTCGCTCGCTGCGCCTCACACCGCCCGACTATTATCGTGCCATACATTTGGAATGTGGTCCCGCTTTTGACTTCAACTCTTTATGCGATATGCAGCAATCCTTTTGTGACATACTTTGACTTGCACAAGCACGCGGGCTGTGGTTCAAAAGCGAAACGAGCCTCTCGGGGTCCTCTTGTCTGGATCCACCGCCACCCGACCTCGCAAATGCTGCCCCTCGAGTGATATACGGGTCGATCTAAAAGTTACGCTTGCTGAGAACGGGTTTCAGTAGATCAGAACTTCTGAGCTACAAGGTCACGATGAGCGTTCTGACCAAGCAGTCGGTAGCCTATGCCGAATCGGTAGTCACACCGACCGCCTATCGAGAAAGACGCATGCATGCAAACGCAATTCTCAACATCGTCTAAGCTCGCCAACAATCTTTAATCTCCTGCAAATCCTCGAAGCTAGACCACATATCCAAGAACAAGATGTGGAGTTTGCAGCCTCGCGTTCCGATTCTCCAGGCTAGCTCGGGTGACTAGGCCGCATGTGACGCGCTAGTGTGGACCCTTGGGAATTGCCAAGCACGTTACATGTAGCGTGGTAGCTTGCGTCAAACCCGGGGAAGACATTACGCATCACCAACCAGCCCGCCCATCGCCTCCCCGTCCTTTCCTATCCTCGACCCCAAATCCTACCGGAAGTGGTGCTGCACATCCTCGCGCCAGCACCTATTTATCCCCGATCCTCTTCTTGGCACCGAGTGCCGGAAGCGCGCTTTGAGCCCCAACACGTAGGCGACAGGCGGCTGGCCTAGTGCTGTGTAGCCGTCGCATAGCATTATTTATCCCCAAGATGGGGTTCAACCTCTTTCACATCCTCGGCGACGTCTCGCATACGTCATCGAAGCTGATACTGATATGGGCGATACACTCCAACAGCAGCGCTGAGGGTGAGTTGGCTTTATCACCACTTGAAGCTTGCGACATGGGCTGACGTATGAAGGTGTATCCCTCATCACCCAGGTCCTCTACGCGCTCGTTTTCGGCACGCGATATCTCGATATCTTCAGCTCTTCCATCACCAAAGATGGGTGGCATACGTGGAACTTCTCGCTGAAGGTACGGAGGCCCGGCATACGTCTACGCGTACGCGGCTAACCGGTCAGATATTCTACACGCTATCATCGCTGTACATCATCTTCTTGATGACAAGTGTATATGCGCGCACAAGGGAGCGAGAGAAGGCATGGAAGTTTGGCATGTACTGTCTGCTAGGCAGCATCCTCATTACCCCATTCTGGTACCTTATGTTTAGGGATCACGTTCTCGGGCATAGCACCTTCATGAAGGTAAGACCTCTACACCACTTACCAAGCACGATTGGATACTGACATAATAGATTCTCTGGGTCTTTTCCGAAATCCTCGAATCCGTCTGCGTCATCCCGCAACTCCTCCTCCTTCGCCAAACCACTGTACCCACCGTCATCGACTCCTACTACCTAGTCACACTGGGTACATACCGTGCCCTATATGTTCTCAACTGGATCATGCGCGGCGTCAAGGAAGACGACTATCTCGATCCTACATCGTGGGTATGGGGCTCCATCCAAACGGCACTCATGATCGACTTCGCATGGGTATACTACACGCGCCAGCGCGTGAAGCTCCGACACGGCGGGGTGGTAGACTCGGATGACCTGGGTCGCGGATGGATCGTGGGTCGATTCGTGGGCAGGAAGAGCATGGACTTCGACTACGACGAGGAAACCGCTGGACAGCGCAACGATACCACTCAACCGAAGAACAAGTGGGGTCGGAGAGGCATCTCTGTCTCTGCGGATGAAGGAGTGGAGGGTGCGCCAAAGAGGACGAGCCCCCAAGAGAGAAGAAATGTAGATCCAGAGAGTCAGCCACTGGCCGATCCAGCCGCGTTCGAGGATGAGAGCGACGACGATGCGCCACCTCCTGGCGCTGCTACTTCAGTGGCGGAACAAAGTGGTGTAAGGAGGGATGAATGGGACGACGATTTGGATGATGATGCTAGTGAGCATGACGCGACATCAAAGGCCGTCAAATGAGTCCACAAGCATGTTACTTAGATGGGAGGTATGGGATCATACTCATTTGGGCACGACATCACCGCTCTACCTCATTGCATTGTTTGCATTTTTACAGCGAATTCAACATATACATTAAGTTCCACACTCCACTTCATCGCGTATGCCCATCGTGATTGCACAGATCGAAGGCCCGTTATACCCGCTCAGCGGATATTCCTGTGTAACATCCCAAGCGTCACGAGCACACTTACTCCTTCAGCAGTGGAGCACTCTGGTCGCGCTAAGACCATACACCATGGGTAACCCCGAACCGTTCTCAGAAGTCCTGCATATCGAGACCGGACATATGAAACTTCCCGTTCCATTCCCGTGGTGTTCGGCGATTAAAAGTCTTAGTAGACGCCTATCCATGTCCATTCATGGTCATTAACGCTTTATTCCCGAACACAGCCCCCACGTTCGCGTAGCATATAGCAGACCTTTCTGCTTTTGTGATACGATACGCTGGCATAGGGGACGGGCACATGGCTTTACCGCGCGTATGACAAGGTGTGTATGGGTACTTGAAATAGATGGGTCCGGGGTGTTCGGTTACCGAGGAGGTGGGAGGATTCGGGTTGCAGGATGCAGAAAGAAGGATGAGGGATGGCGTTTGGGGCTGAAGGAACATGGAGAGGAGATACTGGGGTAAGATGGGTGTTTGGTGATAAAGATAGTCATGGGCTGCTGGGCTGGTGCGCGGGGAACTTTCGGAAGGATGGCGTGTCAGGGTATGTATGGTAACTGGCGGTGCCATCGCACACTGAGGAGGCCACTCTCAAGAGCAGTTGCATGGTAATTATTTTCTTTAAGGTTCGACGTACAACGTTTCGATGCTACTTCCTTCGCGATCGCAATACACGGTAATGCTGCTCCACTGCTATTTTCCCCTCTCAATAACTCGTACAGCCCCCGGATACCTCATCTCCAACATCTTGACCATCTCGTCGTCGTGAAATATCCATCCTCCCGGGGGCACAAAGTCACCGATACCGCTCAAATCGATCATCTGCCTCAGGGCAAATATTTGAGCAAATCCCCGAGGTCGATGTTCACTCGGTAGAGCGTAAAGCTGCATAACAGCCCGATCCCTGAAGTGACAATTCTCTACGCGAGCTCGATCAGCGAACGCGTATTCATGGCGCAGGACACGGCTTTTAAGCACTGTCATCTTGATGGTGTAGTGGTCGAATGGAGGGAATGGGCCGGGCGACGGCAGAAAAATCGTGTTCTTAATGGACGTCGTAACTTCGAACCCGGCATAGTCGAAGGAATTATCTTGGAACGGCGGCGGTTCGATACCATCCGTGTCGAGATATATTATCCATGAGTGTCTGTCGCCTATCAATCTCTTTCTCATCATCTTTGATCCTGGACCGCTGGCTCCTGAATCAGTGCTGGCTTCTAACTGAAGCGCGTCCTGGAAATGAATGGGAGCGATGCTGATGCCGATGTTGTCCCACACCTTCAGTGTGCGATCCGCTGCTATATCCGCAACGTGCTTGAGTAGATAGCCCTCTTGCAAGATGAAGGTCTGGTACGCAAACACCGAGTAGGCCTTATTCCATGTGATGAAATTGACGTCGCTTGTGAATGCAGCGTTCCTTATTCCGGAAAACGGAGGTGTCTCCAGCTCGACGAATGCCACGCGTCGCAGTTCCTGGGCGTTTGTACGGACCATGATGATCAGGTGCTAAAATTTGGGGTTGGCTAAGTTGGCAATTCAGATAGAGTGGGTAATGGAGGACTCACGTTTGGTGTAGTTGGTGTAGGCCTCGTGCCTGTGAGCTTGTACCCTTCACTCACGAGAAAGGACTTTAGAGCTTCGGCGTGTGCTCCTTGTTGCACGAGAAGTTCGTCTGACAAGCATGTATTAACTTCTTGTAAGTTGACGTTTAGATACTTCCTTGACATGAAGCCGAGCGCGAAGGTACCGCCAATGACGATGTTGTGCTTTGCCTGTAGCGAACGAAACGCCTTCGGGTTCTCAAAGAAGCGCTTCAGTCTTTCGTTAACATTAAACTGCGTGCGTTCCACTATACCAACACATCCACTGAGCGCCTTGGTAGTCCGAGAAAGTGCAACGATGTCGCGGATGGCAAGATAATTTAACACGCTGTCTTGGACTGGCGTGAAGCGTGCCAATAGATCAGCTAGACCTGTGCAGTGAAGAGGAATCTCTTGACGGCAGGTCTTGCACTTTGTGTGTAGCCTTGGCGGCTCTGCATCGTCTAGCGGTATGCTCGTCGTTTCCGGAGTGTTCGGAGTCATTTTTGTAGCTGTATCCAATCGTCTATGTATGTGGAAGAGTCGAGGAATAAACCTAGCGGAATATGTCATCTCCTCTATGAAGGTGTAGAGCTTGCTGCTCAAGCGGCATTGCGATTTGCTGGATTATCATGTTACCTCAGCAATCTATGCGGCTTCTTTCTTCTCGACCGCCTGACCCATAGCTTGCGCATCCGTCCTGTGCGTTCCAAACTTCCTCGCCTTGACTCGATTAACAAACATCTCATCCAACTCTTCGTAAGTCCGACCCGCCGTCTCAGGCTGAAAGAACCAAAGATACACCAAGCACAACACAGATAAACCACCAAAGATGAAGCCCAGCTTTCCACCGAGGTTGAGCTGATCGGGGTTGAACAAGTAAGGCAGTACGAAACTCCACATGGTATTAAGCGCGTTCTGAAGAGCGAGGCCGATAGCAATAGTCTTGATGCGAAGACGTGAGGTCGATGTCTCGCACAGGATAGTGTAAGCAGTCGCGCCGATGGTGACATTATACCAGAAGCAGTAGAGTAGGATCATACTGATAGCGCCTTTGAGTGCGGGTGCCGTGCCGACGACCGCGAGACCGGCCATGACGAACAAGATGATGGTGAGCACGAAGAGTCCCCAGAAGGTAAGGTTGCGGCGGCCAACACGATCAACTAGGTACCATGATATGACGTTTCCGATAAGAGAGAGGACTTGCTGCACGATTTGCAACTTGAACGACATGGCGGTGGTGAAGCCGGCGAGTTGCATGTAGTACGTCGAATAGGAAGCTGCAAACATGATGCCGCTGAGCGACTGGATAGTGAGTGGCATGACTGAGATGATGGTTCGCCGTAGGTTGGACCGACGGAAGCACTCCAGATAGGTGACGCCTTCGGTCTCGTGCTTGACTTCTTGTAGAGTCGTCATAATCTGAGCGAGCTTCTGCTCGCCTGCAAAGCCGCGATGACCAAGGCTATTGAGGGCCTTCAGTGCGTCAGCTTGGCGGTCCTTGGATGCGAGCCACCACGGTGACTCGGGCATGAACCAGACGAAAGCGGCAGCTACCCCGGCGAATCCGTACTGAGCGCAAAAGACTGCGCGGTATGCCCAGCGATTGGTATATACGCCCGTGGAGTTCACAATGAGTGCGACTATAAGCGGACCGAGGGTGTATGAAAGCGCAGTCGAGCAAGTCAGCATGCCTCTGAGTTTCAACGGAGCAACTTCGCCAATATAAGTCACGGTGACAGATGCTAGGGCACCGACGACGAAACCGTTCAGGAACTTGCCCCCAAAGAACATCTCGTTAGTTGTTGCGACGAACTCCATGGTTATTGCGGCGAAGGTGACTGCGAGACAGATCATGATCACTAGACGGCGACCAAGCCAGTCAGCGAGTTGGCCACATCCGAGGGCACCCACGATAGCACTGAAGCGTTAGTCTCTTCTAGCGTTCGATTCGAGTGGGTTACTTACGAAGCTACAGGTGCGCCCTGGAAAGCCGACTGCCACTGAGCGTCAATGACATAGCTCACACTGCCGTCATTCGCAGTGAATTGATGGCCGAAGTCTTTCCTAAACTCTGGTATACCAATAACATTGCCAGCTGCTTGGTTCTCGAAGCTGACTAATAGCACTACCCAGACCATGTATATCGACCATGCACAAGCCCAGGGGTACTTGCGGAAGGACGCAAGTTTCCCAACTTCATGGTCTTCCTGGTTGGCGAGATGACCCAGTTCGGATGTGGCCGCGGTAGTCGTTTCTTCCGGTAGGCGTTCTGTAAACTCGACAGTGTTGGACTTTTGATCTTCCTCTATAGCCATGGTAGTCTGCGAAGATGCGAGATGATTGCACCGAGGCTGCCGTGATCAAAGTGGCGGATATAGACGGAATGATTCAGACCAGGTTTACCCCAGCTCAGAGATGGTGCATAGTTCTGGAGAATGCGAGGCGGTGTTTTATACAACTTGCTGCAATGTCAAGGTCACCTACATGACGGATAAATTGATACGCATGCAGTGAAGGAGTGATCGTAGACAGTACCGTCGCGATCTGGCGGATGATTGGGTTATGTGATTACCACGTTTGCCGCTGCGTCGTCGTTCGATGCCCGTGTCTACTCACTTCAATCAAGGATTGCGTTAGTGAGCTTCCCCAGATCCGGTATGTCGGTACGTATGAGGCATCCTTCCATGTCGCATCGTGAGTGATTCCAAGACAGCTATTCCCCTCACATTACATTGGCGCATCCGAGGTTTTGCCGGAACTCTGCTGCCCAATGGTGGCGTCGAAGGGCGACCGAAGTTCTCCCGGTCGCGGTCAGAAGTGTACTCCGAAGGATTGTAGACTGGATAAATGGTGTAATTTGGTGGGACGATCGCGAGCACCATATGGGGTAAGATCAAGCTAGGTGTTTGGCGAGCGGGGAAGGAGTCATTTAAGCCATCACAGGGAAGCGACGAGCATCAACAACCGTTTTATAAGGCCGAAAGTTTACGTCATTGATTCGCCAAGCTGAACGTTGCTACAACACATCGTCCACTTCATCGATAATCTGCACCTTGATACTCCCATTGCTCAAATCGCCACAAGTGTGCAGCGCATCCAGTGCCTTCTCCAACGGGAACGTATGGCTGACAAGTGGTTTCAGATCAAGGATACCACCAGCCAGGCATTGAAGGCCGGAGGGCCATGTATCACGGTAGCGATTGATGAATTTGAGATCGATCTACAGCAGTGTCAGCAAACCCGGGTTCAAACTTGCCCACATACGTGAATGTAATGAAGAATGGTACACCTACCTCAGCAAGACTCAAATGCATAAACGGCAGATTATTCATAATCTCCCTCCCGACCCCAATCACCATGACCGTACCCCCTCTCCTCGCCGTATACGCAGCAGTAACAACACTACTCTCCACACCGGTGCACTCTAGCACAGTCTCAGGTGCACCATACTCGCCCACGTTCTCGAAGTCGAATAGCTCTCTGATCTTCTTCGCATTGCCTTGCGCATCTAGATTACGATCGACCTGATACGTGAGGGCCGTTGGTACAAATTGCTTTGCGAATGCCAGGCGCTTAGGTTCAAGATCCGTGATAACGAGGGGATGCGCTCCGCTCGCTCGTGCTGCAGCGAGGGCAATGAGACCGATAGGACCTGCGCCGCAAATCACTGCACCGCGGCCTAGAGATAAACCGGCGGACTTGATACCGTGCATGACGACAGAAAGTGGTTCAAGAAGTGCGCCTTCGGCGTAGGATACGCTGGAGGGGAGTTTATGGCACCATTTTGCGGGATGCGTTTTGTAGCGTTGGATGGTGCCGTGATATGGATAGACGCCGGCGAATTGGACGTCTTCGCAGAGGTTGTAGCGGCCGTCCATGCAGAGGAAGCATGTGCCGCATGGCACGCCTGGTTCTACTGCTACCCGATCGCCTAAGATATATGTTAGTCGTGGTCTTGAACTCAGAGAGGTGAATCTACCAGGCTTTAAAGTCGTAACGCCTTCACCGCATTGCAGAACTATGCCGGCTGCTTCATGGCCGAGAATGCAGTCTCCTTCGACAACAAGTGAACCTATTCTCCCAGCTTTCCAGAAATGGATGTCAGATCTGGCACACCATCATCAGCTTCGGACATGTGCGCGGTTTGAGGCGTCTTACCCACAAACACCCGTAGCCTTGATATGCAATAGTACTTCTCCCTTTGCTGGTGCATACACAGGGGCTTCTTGCAGTTTCAAGTTGTGGTCCGCGGTGACTTGGAGCGAGGGATTTGGCAGCGGTGTCTTGATAGTGGGTTTCTGTTTATGGGCGCCAGAAGCGGAGGACGCATCTACCAGTGCTGGGGTCATGTTTACTTGTCGCGGTGTAAAGACTGATTACCACCAGTAAGAAAGAGCAACTGTCGTCAAGTTGGGGGAAACGGGTAGAGGTGTATCAAGTAGCCCCACATGTTCAGCGCGCCAAATTGCCATTCTTGCCAAAGTGGAAATCCCATCCCTCAACCCGGAGGCTGGAATGCGCAATAGTCGTGGCAAAATGCGGGGAAATCTCCAGCGGGACTGACAACGTAGTGTGCTGGTGGCTCTGGTTACCGTATTCGACTAGCCTATAGCCTTGTCGCCCAATAGGAATTGAAGACACCGAGCCTGTCTCCGCAACAGCGACGCGTCGGATTACCGGATGTGGCATGCCCGGCCAAATGTTCTGGATAGACGTCGAAGATTAGTTTTCAGTACAGCACGCGGTGTACTTATGTATGATGCGCCTCCCGATGTTGTTTGATCCGTACTAATGTTTGTATTGTGAAGTTCGCAACTCGCAAAACCCTGCACAACCTCACACGATGCACACCTCGCAAGATTCGCCGCAGGTCAGCGGCTCGACCGGTTACGGCAAGAATGTCGTAGATGGACTGAAGAAAGAAGCGAAACTGGAACAGTCATCTGTTCAGAAGTTGTCAAAAGAGCAAGACCATGTCTTGAAAACTTTCAGGCTGCTCATTGCGGATCTATGTCAGCAGTTCAATGGCGGACATCCCGGGTAAGTACCAATCAGTACTTGTAGTAGCAAAGCTTACAATGCGACAGAGGAGCTATTGGTATGGCGGCCATTGGTGTTGCGTTGTGGAAATATGCCATGCGATACGCACCGCACACGCCTGACTACTTCAATCGCGACCGATTCGTCCTGTCAAATGGCCACACTTGTCTTTTCCAATACACATTCCTGCACCTCACAGGCTACAAAGCCATGACTTTCGACCAGCTGAAGTCGTACCACTCAGAGCGCGCCGACGCTTTGTGCCCAGGCCATCCTGAAATCGAGCATGAAGGCATTGAGGTGACGACTGGTCCGTTGGGACAGGGTGTAGCCAATGCGGTCGGATTGGCAATGGCGACGAAGAACCTCCAGGCGATCTACAACAAACCGGATTTCGAGGTCGTGTCGAATCACACATGGTGTATGATCGGCGATGCATGTCTGCAGGAAGGTGTCGCTCTGGAAGCGATCTCTTTTGCTGGCCATCTGAAGCTTAACAACCTTACGATCATCTATGATAACAACCAAGTTACCTGCGACGGTTCTGTCGACCTTACCAATACCGAGGACGTCAACGCCAAGATGGCAGCATGCGGTTGGGATATCATCGACATCGAGGATGGGTGCTTTGACATCGAGGGCCTGGTCGAAGCCCTAAACAAAGCGCGATCATCCACCGAGAAGCCCACATTCATCAACGTCCGGACAGTGATCGGTCTCGGTAGTGCTGTCGCAGGCGATGCCACTGCCCATGGCATGGCCTTCGGAGCAGCTGATGTAGCCAACATGAAGAAGGCGTACGGCTTCAACCCTGAGGAACATTTCGTTGTCAGCGAAGAGGTGCGCAAGTTCTTCGAAGACATTCCCGCAAGGGGCGAGGAGCTTGTGAAATCATGGGAGAAGAAAGTAGAAGAGTACCAGAGCAAGTACCCGGAGGAGGGTGCAGACTTCAGACGCCGCATCGAAGGTCGATTGACGGACAACTGGAAGGATTTGGTCCCCAATTCATTTCCTGAGGCGCCTACAGCGACAAGGAAAGCGTCAGGCCTCGTCTTCAACACGATTGCTGAGAAGATTAACAACTTCATGGTCGGCACCGCTGATCTGACGCCTTCAGTCAACATGAACTGGAAGGGCAAGGTCGACTTCCAAAATGTAAGCTGTGCTCATCCAGTTGGAAGCATCATTGCTAACTCCACCTAGCCCGACCTGAAGACCACATGCGGCATTGTCGGCAACTACAGCGGACGCTACATCCACTATGGTGTGCGAGAGCATGCCATGTGCGCCATATCCAACGGTTTGGCAGCATACGCCCCAAACACGTTCATTCCCGTCACATCGTCCTTCTTCATGTTCTACCTCTACGCAGCTCCGGCCGTTCGCATGGGAGCGCTGCAACGTTTGCAGGTCATACATGCGGCCACACACGACAGCATCGGCATGGGCGAAGACGGCCCAACCCACCAGCCGATCGAACTCGCCAATCTCTACCGCGCGATGCCCAATATATTGTATATCCGACCTGCCGATAGCGAGGAGACGGCAGGTGCGTGGATTACAGCGATTGAAGCGAAGAACACACCGAGTATCATCTCGACATCTCGGCATACCCTTCCTCAACTACCGCAAACGAAGCGAGACCTGGTAGCGAAGGGCGCATACGTGATCGAAGAGGTCGAGGAAGCGGACGTGACGCTTATCGGTGTGGGTGCAGAGCTGCATCATGCCGTTGATACAGCGAAAGAGCTAAAGGCGAAGAACATCAAGGCGCGTGTCGTGAGCTTCCCATGTCAGCGGTTGTTCGATGCTCAACCTACACAATACAAGCGTGACACGCTGCAAAGGCATCGCGGTATTCCAGCTGTCGTCATTGAGCCGTTCGCGCCGAACGGATGGGAGAGGTATGCTGATGCCGCTTGCTGCATGAAGCGCTTCGGTCACAGTTTGCCAGGCAAAGCTGCTTATAAGTATTTCGGATTCGATGTGCCTGCGTTGACAGCCAAGGTGGAGAGCTACCTGCAGCAGGTGCGCGACGATCCTCTGCTGAAGGGCGAGTTTGTGGATTTGTGAGGCTTGTATAATAGAGATAGAGTAATTATCCAAATGCACATCTGACCGTACCAATCTTCATTTGACTGCGCATGGGCATCGTTTTGGCTCGTTGTCGCGATTGAGATTGCGACGCATGTCAGGATGCACGACGCGTCGACCGCGTCCCGTGCCTGCTCACGTGACTTGCTAGTGGGCCCACCTGAGTACTTGGACATCTCATCTGCACTCTAGCAGCTACTTGCACTCTAGCAGCTACTTGCGCCCCATCTCCAACTGCTTCTCCCATACAACTCGAATCTAGTATACACCTCATCACTTCTGGGCTAATGGGGCTGAAGTTCTGTCCCCATGATCATGCGTTCCAAGGTTCCTCCGCCCTATATCCAACAGCATCCAACCAGCCCTCTGCTCCTAGGCATGCAAGGCTGAAGTCTGTTCGGTGTATCATTGGTCCATCAACTATCCTACAGCTGCCATATTTCTACAAACGCTGTTGCCTTCCTATGAATCTCTCGGCTCCTGCAAGTCCGTCCAGTTAATTTCAGCGATGCGCTAACTCCGCAATCCTTTCATGTCATGTACAAGCAGCTAGCTTCGCCGACGACAATCAGGGTCCTGCATGTTCATCCTGTGCCCGAAACAGATCCTCTCACGTGCAGCCTAGAGCATTGCGACCTTGACAACAATCCGGACTTCGAGGCGATTTCGTACGTTTGGGGCGACTCGGATCTGTCATATTCGATTACCTGCAATTCCAAGGTCACTCCAGTGACTCGCAGTCTGCACGAGGCTCTTTTACGAGTCCGGTCACCGGATCAGAGTCGGACAGTATGGATCGACGGACTGTGTATCAATCAGGTTGACAATATCGAGAAGTCGCATCAAGTGCAGCTTATGCAACGTGTCTTCCGCAATGCGCAGCGAGTCCTAGTCTGGCTGGGTCCTGACACATACGATTTCGCCCGCGAGGCATTCAATATCAGCGTCACGCTAGGCCAGCGAGATCTAGATCCTGAAGAGCTTAAGACTTTGTTGACAATGTATATGGACAAATACCCTGGAAAGTGGTACTCCTTTCGCGCCTTGGGTGAATGTCCATGGTGGGGGCATGTTTGGATCATACAGGAATTCGCACTCGCGAAGGATCTGCTCTTCCTGTGGGGCGCGGAAATAGTCCAATGGACACATATCAACCTAGCTATCAGCAACCTTCAGAAGTCAGACGTCATATGGCGCTTCACGCCGTACAGATCGGGGATGCTCGGGCCCATATCCCGATTGTCTGCAATCAAGGATCAACGCTCTTCCGCGACGAGTTTTATGGGAACAATCCATACGGCCAGGGCATTTGGATGCTCAGACAGTCGCGACCGGATCTTCGCAATCTTGGGACTAGAATGCGGTAACGACCGTTGGGTAGCAGAAGATCCCGCTGGACAGTCGCTAGCTAAAGCTACCATACCGGACTATACCTTACCTGTGGAACATGTCTATCGACAATTTGCTATTCGGGCCTTACAGCAAGGTTTGACAGAAGAGATCGTCTTAGCAATTCAACATGAGGAACAGCTGGAACAGTGGCAGCCAGGTGACATGCCTTCGTGGTCTACGCGTTGGGACCTGCCTCTCGTCAACAACTTTCCATTCTGCCAAAGACTGCACGATATTTGTAAGTCTGGCGGTCTTTCCGTAGAGAACGGCATCTCCTTCACAGGATCCGTTCTTGAGCTAACGTCTGCATTACCATCCAATTTCGACCTGCTCGCTATTGACACTCTCAACG